AATGCCCAACATTCAAATCTCTTTATTGAGATTTTGCCCCTTAGTCTATGTTAGAATTCTCAGAGGCTTCACGGACACCACATGTGATATAACTTACCGTGTGTCCAAGCTGTGAGGAAAGTAGTGTCAGCTGTCTTCTCAAGGCTGCGTCTGATGTTCGTCAAACTAGAAGCTCACAGGTTCACATAACTCTGTGTCAATCCACAGTACCACCATTGAAAAAGGCAATGATAGAAGCAGCTAGAAGAGAAGAGAAAGTACAGCTTTACTTGTCAGTGGGAAATTCTCTATGACTTGGTGAAACCTTTGGAGGTCAATGCAGGAACGTTTTTCCCGTATTTGGTGCCAAATCCTTCTTTTTTTCAGGCAATCGAGGGGGCGGAAAGCGGCATTGTTCATGTTATAGTAGGGATGGGGATAAGATTTGCAATTTCCAATTTTATATTTTTTATCTAGACCAGAGGTCTTCAGCATTCATCAACATGAGAGCCATATTTACCACAGTTGAACCACAGCACAAAATCCCACAGTGCACCACCAAACAGAAATGTCACAAAATGAATGTTATGAAATACAATGATCTTTTAGTTTTGCAGTTCACTCACAACTGACTGACTCAGTATGAAACCTGGTCCTGCTTAATTAAACTAAGCACTGATGTGCATGTAGAAATTGAAAAAAAAAAAACCTCTATAAAGTCTTTTTTGTTTTTTTGCAGTTAACTAATTATGTTTTTCAATAGTTTTGAAATTGGACCATTTTCTCATGACACATTTATATCCCTGAGCCCAATGGTTGGGAGTCGCTGGTTTAGAGAACCAAGGAAGCTGTCGAATTAGTGTGATGTCTAGCAGGTTGGTGACCCCTGATCTGAACAAATCAACATTTGGAACCACGTAATGACCTCCTATCATGTCCCTCAAATATAATTGGTCCCATATTTTATTGATTAGACTCCGGTAAAGACAGATGCAGTGAAGCAAAGTCTACAGTATATTAACTCTGTATTCAGCAGCCTGACGGTGAATATAAAGCTATATTTTACAGAATATCTGCTTTTTTACATTCTGATGCTGCTACAGATGCTGAGGTTTATACGTCTAAAACCTTTAAACCGCCCAAATTCATGCAGTTAAGCTGAGGCTCACTGAAAAACATCACAAAGGTTCGTATTGTTTTCTTTCTCGTCCTGTCTTCCACTTCAGAAGAGTCTCATTTTCTTTCCTCTTTGGTTGGGACTTGACAGTTTTCGAGAATCAGGGTCAAGGAGCCACATTGTTTACAAGGAATGTGGTTTCTTGCAAGTTCTTCAGTGCCGATGTGCATTTTGAGATCCCTCATTATTGTGGGGGAACTGTTCCTTACAAATAATTGGAACAAACATTTTCTGTCCCTTGTAGCAATGGCACAAGAATATTTTTAGTGCAATTATTGGAAAATAAATGGGATTGTCTCTCCTTTTCCCACTCAGAGAATATTTTCATTCTGTTAGAATTATTTTCCTACTCCATCTGTTTCTTTCTGCATTGTCACTCCCATATAGACATAATGGAGGAAGAAGATGCCCTCCGGAGATGAGTGTTTATAATTAGTTTTAAAAGTAGCGGAGCTCATAACTATGTGGAATATCCAATAAATATTTTATGGCTTCACAAAGAAGGTCTGCACATTCATTATGAGCAAAGCAAAACAGTTAGTATTAACAGATTTGAGTCCTAATTGTGGAGAAGTTCATTTAGACAAATGATGACGATAATAACTTTCACACATAATGACATGAATGTTTGTTTGTTAAATAGAAATGTCTTTTATGTCTTATGAAAATGTCTTGTATTTTTATGTTAAATATCAGGATGAAACCATCACAAAACCACACTGCACCGCATATATTTGCTTTATCGACACACATTGCAGAAAAAAAATATTTCACCAAAAGAAACCAGCCTAAAACAACATCTCAATGTCAAACATTGTGTTTGTGGACACTTCGACGTGGGGTTGAACCAGCCTAACCCAGTGCATGGCAGTAGATAAGTCTACGGCTGACCAGCTGACCGACACGATTATTATAATAGTCATATGGATCATGAGGTACTGTAGACGGACGGTTTCACTTTCAATCTGGACGTGTTCTACAGGCCACCGTCAAGATGTACAGTAAGGATAAAAAAAACACCAAATATATGAAGCACATTTATATACTTAATCTATATACTTTATCATAACTTACTTTACAGTTTGCCATATTTATATTTCCATCATCATTGTCACAAATACCCAACTGCAGAGAAACACATAGATCTACCTGCTGGTACACAGAAAAAATGTATGGTCATATTTAGGAAAGCTGATTGATCTCATTGATTAATTAATTGTGAATAGTCATGATTAATCATGATTATTCCACAGCTCCTTAGTGATTAATGAGAATAAAAAATTTTTTTTTTTTTTTTTTTGACAACGCCGAGCATAAGCCATGTGGAAAATGGCAACAAGGTTTTACTGGCAAATGTGTGTGGAGCGTCCTAATGCACTGTCACCTGCCAAAGTCCTCAGCACTGCAGCAGCTCAGCCTTGCTGCCTCACACAGTGAGGCCTTTTATTCACTTTGGATCTCAGTCAAGTCACTCAGTAGTCACACTGCATTATGTTCAGCCCCATTGTTTGGTACACTTGGAGGCCATTTTAGTTCCAATCGAGGGAAGGAGAGAAGCTCTGTTCAACAAGCACTGGCTGTTTTTGTTTTCATGCATGTTATGGGCATTAGTTTGTCCGGGGTGGTGCTAAATATCTCGAACGACCCATGTCGACAAGCTTAGAGTGAATACGTGTTAGAGATTTATCCCATTGTAGAGGGTGTTTGTTTTCTGGGCTGCTGTGTTCACTGCTCTGTACTGAACATCCTGTCGCAACTGGGAAATGCTAAAGGAAGATGTTACTGAAATGACAAGGTCACGACACAAAGGTCAATTCACTGTAGGACCTTGAGAAACGTCAGTGTGAAAATACCAGCCATCGTCTTGGTCGTGTTGCCCTTTCTATAACAGGGAAAAAGGAGGAAGATATGGCGATGATTTGGACTTATGTTTGAACCATAGTCAAATTATATTTTTGTCAGACAACACACAGTAAAAATCTGCATCATATTATTTTAATACACTAAGTACTACTTGTTTATAGATACTGATAGATGCTGGTGAAAAAAATCACAAATATTCTTTTGTTCTTTTTAGGTCCCAGTTATACTGGGAATCAGTTCTTTGAAAACAAAACATTAAAAAATATGATACTGTAAATAATGTACTTGAACAAAAAGGGTTATTATAATTTTTACTTTGTATTCACAGTTTTAATTAATTTTAATACAATTCTAATCAATTAATTAATTAATTCAACTCAGTTAAAGATAAATCATTTTATTCTATTTTCATATTAAATGCAGAGTTGTGACAGTTAATTCCACCAAGCAGCCCTGAATGCTAACCTCCTGTGGTTCTTTTAGTCATGCGTGCAGTATGTTATAATGTAGTATAAAAGGGAGGTACTTGACATTTAGAGTTACCATTATGGGCTCTCTACACGACAGGCAACGCTTATTACAGGGAAAACCTTATCACACAGGTAGAGACTCTCAAGAGGCCTGCAGACCAGAGAGAGGGGATTCAGCTGATTGAAATATATGGACATGGGATTTTAAAAGCCCTAAAGCATTTGGCGGAACATACTTTTTTTCTTTACGAGGTGTGACTGTACTGGACTAATGTCACATGTACAGAGGTTTAACCAGGGACGGATCGTGTCCAGATGACAGAAATAATCAATTCATTTTGTCTAAGAGACATTGAGATTAAAGATTCACTGTAATGCTAACAACTAGCTAGCAGTCCTGTGGACATGTCAACAAGATGCTTGTTTTTGAAGTTCTCTTCTAAGCTTTGAGACTATGTTTATACAGTTGAAGTGACAACTCTTTAAAAAGCCCAGATGTTTTCAGTTGACAACCTACGAGTACACTGCAGCCTTGACTTGTCTCAACTAAAGCAATAAAACTCAGAAAAAGGAAAAATGAAATTCACAATTCAAATTATTGGCAGAATATGTTTTTGACTTTGCCCAAAAAATACAGTAACAATTACTAAAAAAATGTTCTGTATATACATCAAACATAAAATATGTTTTATCCCAATACAATATAAGTATTTATTGGGCTAAATGACTGGAGCTTCAACTGCCATGACAAGGGAATATATTTGTTAACCTGCACTATGTTTAGATACCTTAGCTACGCATTCATCCATGACGTGAAAAGAAAAAGTCTATTTCTAAACTCTTAGAGAGTGAGAACAGTATTAATGTGAATTTTACTGGAGCTGAAGCCTCTCACACTCACAGGCACGTCTGAAATGAGAACATCAAGCCCATCCATCATATTTGTAGTGTCACTGAGGTGACAAGTCCACCTTTTTGAACATTATAGCCTAATAAATGTGATTGTCATAAAATTTGCGTGTAACAGTTGTTGCCATAATAATGTCACATTAGATCAGAGAGATGGGTCGTACGCCACTGTCTGAAGCAGTCAGGACTCCAGTCGTCAAACTCACATTCATGCTGTGCAGAGTTCTGCGGTAAAACAATGGGGAAAATGTAAACGTGAATAGTGGCCATTCGTATTCTGTCGACGTTTCTTTGCCGTGAAGTTAGAGACGTGTTAAATTTGTTTGCCTGTACGTCCACGCTGCAACAGCTCCTCCAACCACTCGTAAATTGTACTTAAAAAGGCACAGATTCACCTGTTTAGCATTCAGTCGCTCATTCACCTCTCTTTGGACTTGCCCATTAATTAAAAATAACACAAAGCAACAAATCCAAGCCAATGCAGTGGCGAGGCTGGATTGATGCTCTCCTTAAAAGGTTCTTACAAACACAATTCATTAAGTCATTAAGTGCTAGAAGTGGGAGAAGTGCCCGTTCTTAATTGGTCAGGGTCTCCTATCAGATTAATTTATTATGCTCTGTATCTGTTGTTGGTTCTTTTTCTTGATTTGTGGACAAATTTGAAAGAGGGAAATATTAGCAATTTTATCAAAAGGAACTACAAGGACAACAAACTGTATTTGTTATTGTTTTCCTTGTTCCATGCAATACTTAACCATTTCTTTTCAAAGGTACAGTAGGATTTTGTCAAACATTTTGGGCCTTCCTCCAAGAAGCAAAACAACAGCGACACCCACTTATTGGCTGATGTCAGCGGTCCATCAAACTCCAAATCCAAATCCAAATTGTAAATAATATAATTGCCATTTCAACCTTAGTTTTCATGCAGTAGTGAAGTCATCACTGTATACACATAGCCTTCACTTCCTTCCATTATAATTTAGCCACTTGAGTAGTTATGCAGCTCCTGCCTTTCATTTTCTTACTTTTAAACCATCACTAGAGTGCTCTGGCGCCCCTCAGAGGAGCCTCCCCTCTCACCTTGAAAAGCTCCACACAGTATTTTGCCATGTCATCGCCACACCGCAGCACGCACATTTTAAGAAAAAAAAAATTTCATTCCTAATTGCACGTCTTGCTCGGACATCACAGCGTCCACTCTCTAGTTTGCAATTTATGAGTTAAAGATAAATGGAGCTTATGAATCAAAGCGAGGGCCACTGATGTGTTTATTCCCCTTTGACTTCAAAAAGGTTTTCATATAAATGCAAACATACTCAGCCTCTGAAGATGAAGAGGAGTGTCTCATCTTATTATACAAATTAGATTTGCTCATTGTCATTACGAGCATTATTCTGAGTGGGAAGATTATTTCTGGTGCATTAAAAAAGTGCATCCAGAGAGTGATCCTGCACGTCAATGTAGAAAATTAAAGCTTTAGTTGTAAATTTTTAAAACGGTACTGTGTGCAAGAAATCCTTTCAGAATTTAAAGCAGCAAAAAGGTCTTACAGAAGGTCAAATAAAAAACAGTTTTAACAATTTAATGGAAAATTAATTTCTAGCTCTTTTCCTAAATTTCTAATTCCGCTAAAAATTAACAGACTTCGTTTTTTTTTTTTTTTTCTCCATCTTTTTTTGTCTATAAACCAAGTTATTCCTGGCTTTTTCCCTTTTCCTC